TCACTTTTCTGCTTCAGCCTGCTTTAAAAAACATAAACAAAACCTATCCTGTGATTTATTTATTTCACACATATTAATGTTCTTTGAGGGACAGATGACATCACAGGGCCCTATAGAAATAACCATGCTCTCACCATGCCAGTTAGGCTAACCAATTAGTCTTAACATTAAAAAGAACATTATTATCATTATTATTATTAGTTTGACACAATATAATTTCTTGACATTGTTTAAAAAGAAAGAAAAAGAGAACATTTAAAATAAAAAAACTACAACTACAATAAAAATATGTATATCATTAGTTTCAACTTCACATTACTAAACAAATCATTGTGCAGATGAAAATGAAAAATTTAAAGCCACAGAGTAAACTTATTATTTATGAAGGTTTTTCCTTTCCAGGTTGAAAATGATAAAAGATGAATTGGATAAGTAAAGAAATCAGTTGAGATGAATATAAAATAAGATATGATCTTGGTGTGAGTGGTGTTGAAGATTAGAGGTTTCAGGGACATTTTCTACACTGTAAACCCATTTTGATATGCTTTACAGACCACCAAACTCTATAACTGAATATTTGGATAATATTTGTGCAATTATCCAAAAAGTGACTGACACATATAATGAAATATTTATTTTTGGCAGATACGAGCAATGGTTTTTAATGTTGGGCTTTTTAGCTCCATGTGAAAAAAAAAACAGATTACAGCTATCAGTGGGGCAGCACTAATCTAAATATTAGTTGCACTAAACCTAAAGCACTAACTCAAATATTTAGGTCCCATAATTCTAAAGCACTAACGCACTGAAAAATTTAGCAAAAACTAATCCAAAAGCACTAAAATAATCCAGATGACACATGGAACATTCTTCAGAGTCAACATGAGACAATATTTACTGTGTGCAGAGTATTGTCACTTAGTGCCGTCACACCGTTTGCTCACAGGGAGCTGAGTCATACTTGCAATGACAGCATTGTAGGAGGAGGACAACTGGACGCGAAGGCCTCCACCTCTGTTTAATGGTGGACGGTTTTTCTTCACAAAGATGGCTTCCTTTACTCCTCTCAAACCAACATTCCTCTCTATCAAGGATGAGAACATCCTCATCCCTGAAAGAGTGACCACTGGCCTGTAGATGAGTGTAAACTGCAGAGTCCTGACCCAACAACGTAGCTCGTCTGTGCTGGCTCATTCTTTTGAACAGTGGCTGCTTTGTTTCCCCGATGTATGACTGATCACAGTCCTCCTGGCACTTAACAGCATATACTATATTACTCTGTTTCTGCCAGGGAACCGGATCTTTGGGGTGAACTAAGCTTTGTCGTAACGTGTTTTGGGGTTTGAAAGCCACTGCGACGTCATGTTTAGAGAATAAACGTCTCAGTTTCTCTGAAACTCCCACCACATGTGGAATGATGACAGGTTTGGGTCTGGGTTAAGGGTCTTCATTTTCAGCTGGTTGTTGGCTGGAATCCTGTTTGGGTTAAAGCCCAGTTAGGATAACCGCACTGCTCCAGGGCCTGTCTTGTGTGTGATTTCTCTTTCTCCCTGGCTCCTGTGTTTGTGGGGACACTGTCTGCTCTGTGGTACAGAGTCCTGATCACTCCTAACTTGTGTTCCAGTGGATGGTGGGAATCAAAATGCAAATACTGGTCTGTATGGGAGGGTTTGCGATACACGTCAGTTTCCAACCATCCTCCATTCTAAACTGAGACATCACAGTCCAGGAACGCTAACCTGCCATCTTTTACATCCTCTTGTGTGAACTTTATATATTCATCCACAGAGTTGAGGTGATCAGTGAAATGTTGGACTTCCTGGGCTTTAATTTTAACCCAGGTGTCGTCAACATACCTGAACCAATGGCTCGGTGGTGTCCCTGTAAAGGACATCAGAGCTCTCTTTTCCACCTCCTCCATGTACAGGTTTGCAACAATATAAATTGATAAGGCGGTGAATGTGGTCTGTGTAAGATTAAAATCAGACACCACTCTTAGCAGTAGAACCACACTTTCCACAGAACAACTGTCAACTTCTGAAACTGTGCCTGGAATCAACATTTCGTTCCCGCTATTGTTGATTGAATATTTGTGAATAAATCAGGTAAATGTTACTTAATTTGCTCAATTAAATCTTGTAACACATACTTGATCAAATTAAGTAAAATTTACCTGATTTACTCACAAATCTTTAACTATATTCTTAGTAACTTTTACTAGAAAATGATGATTAAAAATTACATGAATTTGTAGCATTTAAATTTACTTAACAAACGTTAGTGCAAATTGTTATGAGGATTTTTTTTCTAGTAAATCTTACAAGTTCTTTATAACAGTGCACATGTGTCAAGCACAATTTTGTAGCATGACACCTCACAGCTACAGAGAGAGGTGTAGTTCAAGACTTCACCACCAGGTGGTGGTTTTCAATTTTTCAAAAGTTTTGTTAGTTCTTTACAAATAATATTTCAACAAAAAAACAATACATGGGTTACAATAATATCTTGCRTGTTATACAATCATTTCACGACTTCACACAAATCACTACTATTAAAAGCTGTTATTGATACATTTTTTGAAACGTTTTAGGTATTTTCCATATTAAAATTTTTGTCCTCAGTTGTTTTCTTTCTACAAAAAGGGTCTTTTAAAATGTAATCTTTAACCATCGTGGCTATGCTTTTTGCGGCCGTTTTTCCCGGTACTTCATATTTTTTTAAATACCAAAATGTTCCTTGCTTTCCACAATGCATCTTTTACACAGTTGACAATTATCCATCCATCCATCCATCCATTTTCTGTACACGCTTCTTCCTTTTCAGGGTCGCGTGGGTCACTGTTGCCCATATCCAGCAGTCACAGTGCGAGGGGCAGGGTACACCCTGGACAGGTCGCAAGTCCATCACAGGAGACAGTTGACAATTATCCACCATAAAAACCATCTCTTTTCCAGTTATCCTTCATCAAACCATAAGCTATTAGTTCGAATGATAAATCATTCTTATGCAATTCCTTTAACCAGGGTAACATTAATGACCAAATCTGCTTGGCAAAAGAACATCCCCAGAATAAATGTCCAACCGTCTCTTCCTCTCCACACTTTGGTCTTGAGCATCGAGGGCTTCTAGTACAGTTCCTCTTGTATAAAAGGTTGTAGTAGGTAAACATTCGAGCACTGTCTGCCACGCCWAATCTTTATGTACATTAGATAAGTGCTTATTGTTGACATTTTTCCATGTTAATTTGCACAGGTCTTCATTCAATCTCCCTATTGCAGTCAGTCTACTTGGGGGAAGTAATACCTCCTCTATTTTAGATCTGGTGATGTTTTCAGGCCTTATCTGCTTTACATCATACCTCAAAGTCTGAACAGCTGCTTCAAATGATGGGTACGTATCAGCAAAGGGAGTGTTTAGTACAACCCTCTTTCCCCACGTTTAAAGCACCCTGCCTCCCAACCAAAACCTGGCACAAGGAGACCAGGTGATTGAAGAAAGGGGGTCCAGACAAGTCTTTAAAATTGGAGTTACAAACATCGCAGTAAATTTCACTCCTATATCTGGAACTGCTCTGCCTCCCTGGTCTAGAGATGTATATATAATTTCTCTTTTAAGTCTTTCCTGCTAGCTTCCCTGCAATAAACGATATGTTATCTTTCGTATCGATGCCATTATCTTATGCAGAACGCATAATAGTGGCAGGTTTTGGTTGAAGTACCTTTATTAGATTCTTCTTCATAAACAAACTGAAACTCACAGGTGATATTAATGACTAGGCCTACCACTCTCACTTATGGGTACTTCTGCTGAATGGTTTAACACAAGTTAACAAATAATGAACACACAAATTAGAGTAACACAACAGACTAACTGCTGAAAGAACTTCGTTAACCAATTCCCTTAAAAGATTTAACAACAACAAACATGAATCCTACCCACAATCCTCCACTGCAGTCACATGA